TGACTTGCTCCGTAGTGAGTGCATCGAGCTCGTAAACATGCCTACTTGATATCTGTTTCAGCATGCTCCAGTTTTCACTAAGTATGAGAACTGATTATGTTTTTGCCATGTTCACATGCTTGCAATTGTATTTTCTGATCTCTTTTGGCTCAAGGTCACTAAGGGACTTTTGTTAAGCTCTTTGAGTAGCTCCATGTCATCTATTTTTATGACATATTCAGGTCATGTAGCATATAGTTTTGTTGCTCCGAAGAGTGCTATCTGATCTGAAATTCCAGATAAGTGTTAATTTCACTAAGTCTGAGATCTGTTTGTCATATGCATTTTTGTCATGCTTGTTTGAACCTGTTAATGGATGAATTGGCCGTAGCTCAGTGCTAGACTTTTGTTAAGCATCATGAATGCATCCCTGCCATGTATTTTGTTTTCATGTTTGGGTGCTGTAGCATGTTCATCTCATTGCATTTAGATGGCTACTTGCTGTAGATCGTAGAACGTGGTCATATTTGAATCGCTTGCCATTTCCAAACCGTAACTCTGATTCCGGCGTTCTTTATATCGTTTTCAAGCGATTTCATCTCATCTTTCCTGTGGCAAACTTGGAATTCCAAGTTGAGGCCAGGTTCATGCATTCCCTGTTAAATCTTGCATATGCATCCCGCATCGCATCCCGCATAGCATACCATCCTTGCATCATATTGTTTGATCCTTGCACGTGGTTGATTGTGTCCTTGTTACTTGTTTGTCTTGTTTGGGTAGATCCGGAAGACGAGTTCACTAATGAGGAGCCCGTTGAGTTTGCTTCCGAGGATCCAGTCAACTCTGACCACTTTGCAGGCAAGATGATCATACCCTCGAAATCACTACTATCTTTGCTATGCTAGATGCTCACTCTTTTTCTATGCCAATGCTACGATGCCTACCACTTGCTTTCAAGCCTCCCAAATTGCCATGTCAAACCTCTAACCCACCATGTCCTAGCAAACCGTTGATTGGCTATGTTACCGCTTTGCTCAGCCCCTCTTATAGCGTTGCTAGTTGCAGGTGAAGATTGGAGACCGTTCCTTGTTGGAACATTATTTACTTGTTGGGATATCATTATATTATCTTGTTATCTTAATGCATCTATATACTTGGTAAAGGGTGGAAGGCTCAGCCTCTCGCCTAGTGTTTTGTTCCACTCTTGCCGCCCTAGTTTCTGTCATATCGATGTTATGTTCCCGGATTTTGCGTTCCTTACGCGGTTGGGTTATAATGGGAACCCCTTGACAGTTCGCCTTGATTAAAGCTTTTCCAGCAATGCCCAACCTTGGTCTTACCATTTGCCACCTAGCCTCTTTTCCCTTGGGTTTCCGGAGCCCGAGGGTCATCTTATTTAAACCCCCCCGGGCCAGTGCTCCTCTGAGTGTTGGTCCGACTGAGCTGCCTGCGGGGCCACCTCAGGGAAACTTGAGGGTTGGTTTTACTTGTAGCTAGTCTCATCTGAGTGTGCCCTGAGAACGAGATATGTGCAGCTCCTATCGGGATTTGTCAGCACATTCGGGCGGTGTTGCTGGTCTTGTTTTAACCTATCGAAGTGTCTTGAAGAACCGAGGTACCGAGTCTGATCGGAACGTCTCGGGAGGAGGTCTATTCCTTCGTTGACCGTGAGAGCTTGTCATGGGCTAAGTTGGGACTCCCCTGCAGGGATTTGAACTTTCGAAAGCCGTGCCCGCGGTTATGGGAAGATGGGAATTTATTAATGTTCGGTTGTAGATAACTTGAACCTTAACTTAATTAAAATGAATCAACCGTGTGAGTTACCGTGATGGCCTCTTCTCGGCGGAGTCCGGGAAGTGGACACGGTGTTGGAGTAATGTTTTGCGCAGGTTGTCCTCTAGTTTCTCGGTCGCGCTTTGCATCCTCTTCTCACTCTCTTTTGCGAACAGGATAGCCACCATATTTGCTAGTCGCTTGCTGCAACTCCACCTATTTTACCTTGCCTTACCTATAAGCTTAAATAGTCTTGATCGCGAGGGTGCGAGATTCCTGAGTCCCTGTGGCTCACAGATTACTATTACACCAGATGCAGGGCCTGATGATTCCGCTCCAGGTGACGTGCTTGAGCTCTGGTGGGAGTTCGACAAGGACTCTCAACAATACTATGTTTCCTTTCCTGATGATCTGTAGTGGTGCCCAGTTGGGGGTGATCGGGACCGTGTCGCATGTTGGGTTATCTTTTATTTTGGCACCGTAGTCGGGCCATGAGTGTTTGGATGATGTAATGTTATTTATGTACTTGATTGACGTGGCGAGTGTAAGCCAACTATGTTATCTCCCCTTTTATTATATATATATTACATGGGATGTTGTGAAGATTGCCTAACTTGCGACATATGCCTTCAATGCGATTATGCCTCTAAGTCGTGCCTCGACATGTGGGAGATATAGTCACATCGAGGGTGTTACAGAGAGAGAGGAGGCTGCGCCCCCCAAGGCCTAGTCCGAATTTGACTAGGGGGAGGGGCGGCGCCTGGTGAAGCTATGTACCTAGGGTAGGGTCATGGACCTGTCCAAACTGACCTACCCAAGGACATCTCCAGAAGAAATCATTTTTCAATCGACTTGAAGGTGTCTCACTCGACAGACTTGAAGATACTCGACCAAGAAGCAGTCACTCGACCAAGACCAAGCCACTCGATGGTCAGGTGACCTAAAGGCGCTCCGCATGCTAACAGTCGGTTATTAAGTAGCCTTTATGGTCATGATAGCACTTTATTAGGGGCGTTACTGGTAATGCCCCACCTTAATGTATTTAAAACCCTACATAACCGAGGGCCGGAGGGGTCGGGCGAACTCTATATAAGCCACCCCCCTCCTCAGTGTAAAGGGTTCACACACCTATAATTCACACACGCATAATCCAGTCGACCGCCTCCGGGCTCCGAGATGTAGGGCTATTACTTCCTCTGAGAAGGGCCCGAACTCGTAAATCTTGCGTTCCTACAACTCCTCTATAGCTAAGATCTTGCCTCTCCATACTTACCCCCCTACATCACTGTCAGACTTAGAACCACGATAGCGCCCCCTCCTTCCTTCTCTTCTCTTTTCCCTTTCCTTCTCTCCTACTCCTACTACATGGAAGGGGGGAATCCTACTCCCGGTGGGAGTAGGACTCCCCACGGCGTGCCATAGGAGGGCCGGCCCTCCCCCCTCCTTCACTCCTTTATATACGTGGCCAGGGGGCACCCTATAGACACACAAGTTGATCAGTTGATCTTTTAGCCGCGTGCGGTGCCCCCCTCCATCATAATCCACCTCGGTTATATTGTAGCTGTGCTTAGGCGAAGCCCTGCGTCGGTAGCTTCATCAACACCATCATCACGCCGTCGTGCTGACGGAACTCTCCCTCGAAGCTCTACTCGATCGTGAGTTCATGGGACGTCACCGAGCTGAACGTGTGCAGATCGCGGAGGTGTCGTACGTTCGGTACTAGGATCGGTCGATCGTGAAGACGTACGACTACATCAACCGCGTTGTCATAATGCTTTCGCTTACGGTCTACGAGGGTACGTGGACAACACTCTCCCCTCTCGTTGCTATGCATCATCATGATTTTGCGTGTGCGTAGGAAAATTTTAAAATTACTGCGTTTCCCAACAATTCAGACACCAAAAGTGTTTTTTGGGGTACCGGATACTTATCAGGTCACCGAAAGAGGTTTCGGACATCCTCGGCAAAAGATATGGGCCTTACGAACCAAGAGGCAAAACACACCAGCCACAAGGGGCTGGTGCGCGCTCCCATATGGGCCGACCTAGGAGGAGAAGAAAGGGGGAAGGGAAAGGAAAGAAAGGGAATATGATGCCCCCTTCCTTCCCTGTCCCCCCTCTTTCCTTCCCCTCTGACATATATATGGGGGGGCGGGGCGTCTAGCACACAACAGATCAATTATTAGCCATGTGCGGCACCCTCCTCCATCGTTTACACCACTGGTCATATTTTTGTAGTGCTTGGGCGAAGCTATGCGAAGATCACTTCACCATCATCACACCGTCGTGCTGACGGGACTCATCTACTACCTCGACATCTTCCTGGATCAAGAAGGCGAGGGACGTCATCGAGCTGAACGTGTGCAAAACACTGAGGTGCCGTGCGTTCAGTACTTAACCGGTTGAAATGCGAAGAAGTTTGACTACATCAACCGCGTTGTGAAACTCTCCCGCTTACGGTCTACGAGGGTACGTAGACACACTTTCCCCCGCGTTGCTATGCATCTCTATGGATAGATCATTGCTTGTGCGTAGATTTTTTTTGTTTTTCATGCAACGTTTTCCAATAGTGGCATCATGAGTCAGGTCTATGCGTAGATGATATGCACAAGTAGAACACAAGAGTTGTGGACGGTGATAGTCATACTGCTTATCACCAACGTCTTATTTTGATATGCATAACGGCCTCACTGCATGGTAATACGTGTCTTATTTATATTATAAAGATCAAATTACAAGTCACGTAAGGACGGCATGACAAAATTGAAAAGATAACACAACATCTCTGAGCTTGACACCAACGTCCGTCATTTGCCTTCGACACCACCAAAGTAGCCACCGAATGAAAGAATGACGGATCACTTCCTCACCCGAGCTCGACACGGCTCCATCGCTGATATGCAGCTTTGCGGACCTTCAAGGTGGCTCTCCAAAAGTGAAGTCCTTGTCGTTGAACGAATCAGACAGGGCGAACACCCGAACACGTTATCGAACTCCAGATCTCGCACCCCATCGCGACTAAGATGCCGAAGTAGGAAACCCATACCTGCCATCTACGAACTATGAGAGGCTTGAGGATCAAGTGTTACGTATTCGTATGTATAACGATTGTATTGGAGTGTTTCTCGACTTGGGGATCAAATCAAAGTGCGCCGGAGAGTTTAAGGACAAACGTGTAATTTTTTCCTCGAACCCTAAGCATGGTTGGCTAGTTTCCCCGGATCGAGTTCGTCACCAAAGCGCGGCATCATGGGAGGATTGGAGCAGTTTGGACCTTGGGCCGACCTCCACCCGGAGCTCCTCCTTTCCATCGCCGACGGGTTGTCGCTAAAGCACTACGCCTCCATCCGCGGCGCCTGCCCGGCCTGGCGTTCCGCCCTCCCGCCGCCGCTCCCTTCTCTCCTCGTCCTTGTCGACGGCCGGCGCGCATCCGCACTATCGTTCCTGATGCAGCGCCCCATCCACTGCTCCACGCTCCAGACGCGCAGCTGCTTCCTCGGCTCAAGTAACGGCTGGTTCGCCGTCGTCAGCGAGTATAGGCTGCAGATCTTCCTCCTGAATCCCCTTACCGGCGAGGAGATCAGCCTCCTTCGGATTAAGAATTGCGGCAAGAGGGTGCGCAAGGTCGTATTCGCGCCGAACCCCAGACCCGACGACTACACCGCCGTCGCCATATGCAACGGCAACAAGCTCGCCTACAGCAAGACCCGGGATATGAAGTGGTTCATCAGCGACGTCGCCATGGACAGGGGGGACCAGCTCATCGACCTGGTCTACGACACGGACGGTGGCAAGGTCTACTGCCTTACAGAATGCGGGGACGTGCACGTGCTCCACATTCCCCGTGGCCGCCGCCGGAAGCCTATAGTCGAGCCCTTGCTGCCGGAGCGCCCGTTCGACCCCACGGCCGTCTTCGCACCGCCCTACCACACAGCTTCTAAGCTCACAAGGTTCAAGCAGATCTTCATCTGTAATGGTAGCCTGTACCAGGTATGGCGGAATGCCACCGGTAACATCGCTTGGCGGCTGCCAGAGGGCGGCCGGTTCAGCATGTCCGACAACGACATCTTCGTTCTGAGGTACGACCCTGGGCGCAGACCATGCTGGGACACAGTGAATGATCTGGGCGGCTACTCTGTGTTCATCGGCAAGAACAACCCAGCGGTGGTCCGAGCTGAGGATGTCCCCGGGGTGAGGGCCAACTGTGTGTACTGGATCGATGAGCGGTGGAGAGACGTGCCTATGGTGTTCGACATGGTCACCCGAACCTCTGCACCCTTTGTTCTTCCCTCTGCTGACAGTGTTCAAAGCCCCCTATGTGGAACAGGCTGCTGGTACTTCTTCAGTGATAACATTACAAGCATCGACAACAATGGAAGGAAACAGCACATGAGTGGAGACGCCGACAGATCTCAAGAGCAACAGGAAGCTAAAAGATCTAAGTCATAAGTTAGTTCAGTTATTTAGAATCCTAAATTTATTGCCTTAGATGAGTTCTGATAATTTCCTATATGACTTTGCAGGTTATTTAGATGTTCTTTATGTTCCTAAATTGTTGTGCCGTAGCTAAACTTATTTAAGTTATTGTATAAGTTTGTTCGGTGTTCTATACTAATTTAAATTATCTTCGAGTTATTAGTGCTAGTTTTGTCATTTATATGTGTATGGCTGTTTCGGTGTTCATGAGTGGGCTTGGCTCTCGTTGTATCTGTTTTCGCCCGGTTTTCCACTAATTAACTGGAGAACTTTCTTCTTAATAGATGTGTGAGGCAAAACTTCGCCTCGGTTTCGAAAACAATAATATTTGCCTGGCTGTGGTGGCTTTTCAGAAGCATATATCAGTTGCTGCCTGGATTTAGACAGTTGTTGAAAGTCAGTGCCCCACAAAACATCTAAGCAAATGCAAATTGGCAATAAAGTATGGCTCCTTTTGTTTGAATAATCCAATTGTTCTGTTAGTTTTTATTGTGTATTCTTAACTATTCAGTAGCCTACCCCAACTTGTTTGGGACTAAAGGCTTTGTTGTTGTTGTTGTTGATTCTTAACTATTCAGTATGATCGGTTTCTTTTCCCAACAATCTCAGGAAATGAAGCTCTAATTTTGGGTGTGCAATCACTTTGTTCTGTTTGGTTGCTTCAAATTTTGTCTAGATCACTTAACAAGCAGCGCAAGGGCCTATGAAGGCACTAGGCGTGCCATGTGAGTTTTTTCAAGTACCAAAAAAGCAATCTGTATACATGATTAGTGTAACTGATCTTGGCAATGGAAAGCTGGGATTGTTCTTGAAATGTATCATCCCAATCGCCAAGATCAGTTACACTAATCATGTATACAAATTACTAAATCGAGCAACTTTGATAGTTGTGGCATCATGATATAAGTTAGCCCATGAAGTGCCAGGTATTTTCGTTCTCCACTATTTCGAAACGCCAGCAACTTTATATGTAGTGTTGATTGTAGTGTCATTAGAATCAAATGCTTCAGAAGATTTGAAGATTTTACTCCAGAAATAAGAGGAGCATGCATTATCTAGGGCTCTCTTCTTCACTAATATAATGAACCACCTATGTTTAAGCTTTCAGCAGTTCTGTACATTTGACTGATAAACACAATGAAGACCCTGTAGATGTGTCGATGTAGCAATTCCCGGGAAGGTAGTTATTTGTTCTTTTTGATGTGTCTTGAAAGCATCCTTCGTTTTCAAATGAAATTTAATTAGTTATAAAAGAAGGTCATCATTCACTAGATTTGTTTCTCAGGCATCTCGTGTGCATAAAAAATAAAATTTGTCACCAGCGCTGTCTTTTAATTTTCTGATCCTTGCATAGTTTTTTTACTGTAGTACTACTTGATTTGGAAGTTACAATGTGGTTAAGTGAGCTCCATTTTTTGGTCTAAACTGCATCATCTATGTTTATTACTGAGCTGCTTGATTGTCCAGCCATTTGAAGGCACATTCAATAATAGAAAGCAGATATGCTATTGTTCAGTTGACAGGTGAGGTACTTGATCCTTATCCGCAGGTCTCTTCTTGTCGCTTACTTACTGCTTACATACAAGAATGTTTCAGTCTTGAAACTTTTGAATCACGTTTAATGTTGATTAAATTATCACGCAACTGCGTACCATTGGAACGGAATTAATTAGACAAACTCATGTTAAACTGTCCGAATGGAATTTATATATAATATTTTGTGCTTTCTCCTTGATTGAGTGTATTGAGAACTTGTCAACTTTTGTTTATTTATGTCACTTATCATGTTGCAGGTTCTGGAAACTCCTCAGCTGATATGCTTGGACATATATCTAATGGTTCTGGATAACCTGTTGATACGGTGCCCCTCACTTACTCTGAGGCATTCTTGGGCACATATGGACGGACATTGCTCCCTCTGGTATGCGGAGGTGGTATTGAGTTCTTGCCCTTGGTAGTCCACTCTCACTGGTGCCACTTGTGCATAGAAGGCGAGGGGTATGCGATGATCGGCGAGGCCAGCAAACACGGCAGACAAATCGGTCAACATCTTCTTTGGTTGTATGTGATTTTTAATTTTGGTGCCCTCCGTGGCTGTGTGTGCCCCCCTTTTTTTTACCAGCAAGAGGGAAAGTAATGGACCTTACGAGCTTTCTTGCTATTGACTTGCCGCGCAAGTTCTTACTGAAGCTTGAAGCATTTGTGAAGTCTAGACCATGAATTCTGGTGTAGTACGAAAAAGGAAAGTTGGTGTGAGTGTGCCATCGGTTTCCCATGGTTCAGCAAATAAAGATGAATGATGTAACTTAAATATATCCAGTTAATTTCAAGGGGAACTTGTATAATGACCCTCATCTCTTGTCTTTCCATGGTTCAACAAAGAAGAAAGGGAATATCAACATTCTCATCCGTATGGTTGCTACCTTCTGCGAACTATAGTAATATAAGATCCTTTATTAATTTACAGAGGGAGTACTAGTTAAGTTTCAAAAGGTACCAACAATGCCATTGTTCACGGAGTCATTGGGGACAAGTCTGTTGTGATTCTGAAAGAGGATCAGCTTAGGCAAGCTTATGTTGAAGCTTCTGAATATGATGTTACAGCTTAGGCAAGCAGAGAAATACTTCAGTTTTGATAACCAAATGATGCTGTGACGTCATATTCAAAAGCTTCAACATGAGCTTGGAGGAATAACGTACGGAAATCATATTCTTAGGCATGTGAATGTTCCCTAACAACATAGACATGTGAACATGTTCTCTTAATCCAGAAATGATTCCCAGCAGTGCCAACGTGGGAATGCAGAACAAAGAATCAAACTGGGTTGTAGTTTGAAAAACAGAAGCAGTTAAGGGTCTTTGGGGGCCTGGTTTCACTCCTTCAAGCTATATCTTTGACCACTTTTGTACTCCCAGCAGTTAAGGAGTATGTTTTGTTGGAGCTGGAATTTTAACTCAGCGCAGATGGATGCACACATGAAGACAGGCAAACTGCTGCTCCTAAGCAAGCGTGCATGAATATGAGAGTAACCTCCAGGGGCTCAATCATGGAGAAACGGAACCAAATTTTATGCAAAAATACAATAAACATATAATCTTCCGGTATCTTTTTTGATACGGCAACAAATATGAATCTTACTGAACATGCAAATCATATGCAAGAAATGCCATACCAACATTTGTACTCGTAGTCTTGGAGATCATGGCTCTGCTAGGTACTAGCGAGTTTTTTCCTCAAAAAATTGGTCGGGTTCAAAATAGAGTTGCCGATCGGTTGGCAAAGTACAGCCGCTCCGAGCGATCTACTGCTGTGTGGCTATGCTCGGCTCCACCGTGTATCGAGGACTTGTGGCCTCTCGACTGTAACTCTATATCCATGCAATAAAACTCCCTTTACCCCCGCAAAAAAAACATTTGTACTCGTACAGCTAAACAGCAAGATTTCAAGAGTGTAGAAACATTTGACACTAGAAATACAGAAACCATGATAAAGCTACCGTACAACAATGGTTTATGGTACTGAAATTACAGCAGAAAACAAAGATTTGTTAGGCTGCGTGCTAGAGTACATGACACAGAGTTCTACTGCAGTAGCATTAACATGACACTAGCAGAGTTGCTAATCCTAGACCCTCAAGCAGAGGGAACCAACAGGCCGGCCCCATAATCCCAGATCCTCAAGCAGAGAACCAACAACCAAGATAATCCCAGGCCCTCAAGCAGAGAACCACGAATCCCCATCTTATCATAACATGCTATGGTAAGTCTTTGGGGTGAAGGGCAGACGGAAGAAGAGCAGGATTGACTGGTCAGGATAGCGGCTAAGAAAGCAGCAGACACGGCGGGCTGGAGGACTAGTCTGAGATGGACTTTCTCCTCTCCCTGCAGTGAAGCAGAGTACTCAACTCATCGCATGGACATGAGAGTGCGCCTCTGGTTGGCCCTCTTGGAAGGCTGAGCGGCCTTCTTCTGGTTCTTCTTCACCATCTTCTCGATTTGCTCTATTGAGTTGGTCAGTTTCTTCTCCATGAGATCAGCGAGCGTTGGATCGATGGGTTTGGTTGGAGTCTTCTGTGATGTTCCTATCTTTGCCCAGTCCCTGGTTGCCGGTGACATTGCTCGGCACCTTGGTTAATGGAATGAGAATTTGCAGGCTCAAAAATAGGCGGCGTGCTACGCGTCCGCGGTAAAAGATCGGCCCGGTTGCGAGCGGTCAGATCTGGCGGGTCATTGCCGCGATTGACGTCTCCATTATTACAACAAAACTCTTGTTGCGGATTTTTTTGCAACAAAAGTCTTGTTACAAAAATTTTTGCAATAAGTTTTTTATTTGCAACCGAGGACTTGTTGCAGATTTTTTTTTGCAATAGAGGTCTTGTTGCGGAATATTTTGCAACAAAGATGATGTTGCAGAACTTTTTCCCAGGCAAGGAGGCAGCCCACGGGGCGGTGACATCTCATAGCTGCAGGTGATGTAGAGGCTCAAGTAGTGCGAGGCGGCGAACTGGTCCACGGCGGTGGCACGCACGCTGCCGACGCGGGAAGAACAACGAGGTGCAGAAAAGAGCTGGGGATGAGCAGATCCGAGCGGTGGCTCGTGGACAGCGATGGAGTCCGGCCAGGGGAGAGCCCGATCCCTTCCATGGAGCATCAGGCCGGCACGGGTGACCTCACAGGGGCGGCGCGGTTAGATGTGGAGGCGTGGGGAGTGGAGCAAGAGGAAGAGAGGGAGCGGCGGCCGGGTGCCTCGACTGCGCAGGACAACCCTTGAGGGATCTAGATGCTGCAACACACGAGTTGTTGCGGTGGGCAGACTACAACAAGGGCTGAGTTGCAAAAACGCAAGAGATAATACGAGGTGAGCCCATGCAGGACACACGTCGCCGGACAAGACCCGTGTGCGATCCGCCGGCTGAAGTCGGGCGTTTCCCCAAAAAATTAGGTAATACAATAATTGGACATGCCCTGAGTTA